GTGATGGTGGAATTCAGACAGAGCGAGGCTGTTGGGGAGAGTGAGGAGAGGGGAAGGTTTTCCCTGCATCTCGCATCACAGCAGGGCGGCCATCCCCTCGGTTATTCCTGGGCCTGGGGAGGATGGTCATGAGGGTGTTTCCTGAGCACTGTGTCCTTACAGTACTGTGTCAGAAGGGAGCTACGTGGTGAGGCAGTTCTGAAATGTACTGGTCGGGGGGTGGGGAGTAGAGCCTCTTTTCAGACAAATTCCTAAACACAAGAGCTTCTGTGAGAGCACCTGCTGAGAGCCGATGGCCGGTGAAGAAACCCTGCAGGAGAAGATGTTGAGTCATAGTATGCTTATAAGTTTCACAAAATAAAGAATTTTCCAGAAAAAAAGTACAGTCATCCCTTGGTATCTGTGGGGGATTGGTGCCAGGATCCCCGACCCCACCAGATACCAAAATCCGAGGATGCTCAAGTCCCTTATATAAAATGGCATAGTATCTGCATGTAACCTACACACATCCTCCTGTATACTTGAACTCATCCCTAGGTTACTTATAATACCTAATACAATGTAAATGCTGTGTAAATAGTTGTTATACTGTATTGTTTAGGGAATACTGACAAGAAAAAAACGTCTGCACGTGTTCAGGACAGACGCAAGCCTGTCTGTGGTTGGTTGAATCCGCAGGTGCGGAGCCTGCGGATGTGGAGGGCCGCTGTATTTCATGTTATTTATTATACGGCACTTATTATAGGCTAGGAACTATTCTAGTGTTTTATGTACATTGACCTACTTATCCCCCACAACAACCCCTTGAGGTAGCTACTATCTCCATTTTACAGATGTGCAAACTGAGGCTCAAAGAGAGGTGGGGTGGCTTACCCCAGGACACTTAGCTGTGAGTAGCAGAGCGGGGCTCTGAGCCCAGGCAGCCTCCCTCTGGATCCTGTGCCTGAGCCACTGGTTACATTGCCTTAAGGAAGCCCTTGTGTCAGGGCCTTAACTTTATTAGGGAACCCAGCTTTTTTCAGCCCAAAGTGGGGCTCTTTGTCCTTCTTCACCTGAGCAGGGGGGCTGATACCTTGAATCATCACTCAACTTTGGAAAAGCTGCTACTTCTAAGAATCAACTAATTAGAAAATTTTTCCGAGCTTGACACTTCTGTTCTCAAACCGGTTTCTCCTTTTCTCTGTCTTCCTCTATCATGTGTGTAATCATTATATATACATGTTACATACACATACTTGTATATATCAAGAAACATAAATGCATGTTTGTATTTCTAATTCAGAATATTTTGACTAACGGGCATGCAAAACAAAATAATAAACAGCTTTTGGAATTAAACAGTAAACACAGGAAGAATTTCCCGCCTAGCTCAATAAACACAATAATCCCCATAAATACAACCACCGGTACTTAAATAAATAAAAGAGAAGAATAAACACAGGGCATGTGACTTAACTGGATGGCTATTTGCTGTTGCCAGATGCTGAGCTGCGGACAGAATTAGGTATTGAGGCACAGAGCAATCATAATCACAGTGAGCCCCCTGCAAACACTGGGCATTGGTATACGTTGAGCAGTGTGGACACTACCACCACTGGACATTTCCCCTTTGTGGATATCAGCCATTGGTGAGTGCTGTCACTGATGGATATTAAGTATTGATAAATATTAGGTACCAATGGACATTTGCTCCCTGGTGAACATTAGCCAACAGGGAACACTGAGCACTGATGGGCCGGGTCCTGTTAGCTTACGATGACCTCTATTGTCTTGGTGGACATTAGGTACAAGCAGAGGATAGGCCTCTGCCCCCCACATACCCAGCAGTCTTGTCCAGGGAAACATCCTCTGAGCTGGTTTGGAGGCAGTTGGTGGGTGCTAGTAAATACATCTCCATCTGTCCCCTCTCTCTGAAAGCCCTTTGGCCATGACAAATTGGGGGAAATCAGAGGGTGGTGTGACAATACCCACGGAGGGAAATTCCTGGGTTTGGAAAGAGTTTAATCAGCTCTCTGAGCCACAGAGGGATTGGGTTACACACAAATCCCCGCAGATCTCCTCTGCCCTCCTGACCCACACTGGGCGTGTCTCCCTTCCTTCTCTGGAAACGGTATGATTAAAGCACAGCAGGCTGGCTTCACGGGCAGCGGGACCTTAGAAGCGCTTTGTGCTTGGTTTAATGCTCTGTGCTTGCCATCTTGAAATTCTTAATACTTTTGAACAAAAGGCCCCACATTTTCCTTTTGCACTGGGTCCCACAAATTATGTAGCCAGTTCTGAAGCACAGAATCCTGGCGACCAGCCGTGCGACTTTGGGCTGTTCCTCTCTGGGTCTCAGTCTCCCCATCCGGGAAACGGGGCCAGGAGGGGCAGGACTTTGATTTTCGGCTTTTCATGCTCTAGGATCTAGAATTAACGGTCTGATGGAGATATTTAGAGCCACGTAACTTCCTCAATTTATTTTCAACAGAAAAATAAATGGAATGCCAGAGGAAGCCAGGCCCAGCCTGGTTCCCTCATCTGTACAGTGACAATAATACCTGGGGCAGTTGTTGTGAGAAGCATATGACAGCACGTACACCACGTCCAAGGAACACGTGCCCCGTAAACGGCAGCTGTATTATTAATGAAATGCAAGGAAACGTTTGTGACGCAGCCTGAGCCATGAGGACAAACTGGGCCTCAGCTGTTGCCCATCTCTGAAACTCAGCTCACGGGTGCACTGAAGGCCTCTTCCACATCAGGCACACAGAGCAAGGATCCTCTGCTTAGAGCAATTGTTCCGCAATTCTACAATCCTAAACCCTTACAAAATTCTTCAGTTCTAAGTCACTCATCAAACTATGAGTCTAAGACTACATGGTTCTGTAACCTATTTCATAATTCTACGGTTGAATGAGGGCAGGAACAAGCATCTATGGACGCAATATTTTGCGTCAGGCACTGTACTTCATTCTTTACAACTGTTACTTCATTTACTCTTCATACAGTCCCGTGGAGGGAGATATTTCCATCCCCATTTTCCAGGCTCAGAGAGGTAAAGTGATTTGGCCAAAGTCACACAGCTGGTTTGCGACGGACCCAGGATTTGAACCCTTTTCTGTGAACTCCAAAATGGAATCTTTGTAGGGGCCACCCCATGGCCTAGGGGTTAAGTTCCCACGCTCTGCTTTGGCAGCCCAGGTTCCCGGGTTCCAATTCCAGGCGTGGATCCACACCACTCATCAGCCATGCTGTGCTGGTGACCCACATACAAAATAGAGGGAGACTGGCAACAGATGTTAGCTCAAGGCGAATCTTCCTCAGAAAAAAAAACCCCAAAAAACAAAATTAAAAAAACAAAAACAAAAGAAAAAACCCGGAATCTTTGCACTAATGTCTATAATTCCGTAAGGTTTTAGTGCCTCATTCTTGGCCCTTCCAGGATGCGGAGTGCGGCAGGAGGAAGGCGGGCCGGCTAGGGAAGGAAAGGGAGGGCCTGCAAACTGCGCAGGTCTGCTTTGGCCCCCAGTGGCCCCAGGGCCTTGCTCCGCGACCTCTCGGACCTGGGATGTCTGGCCATGCGGGACCACGAGGTGGCGCTGCGGGCTGGGAGCCTCTGGAGGCGCCGCGTGGACAGGGGTCCCGGGCTGCCCCGCGGGGCTCCTGTTCTCCCTAAGGCATGCGGGAGACCAGGGCTGGGGGGGTGGCAGGGTCATGCCCCCTCCAGGAAGGAGGAGCCCGCACCGTGTGACGGCGTCTGCCCATCCTCCCACTGCAACTTCACCCTCGCCCCTGTTTGCGGATGTGAAGCTGCTGCGGGGTGGGGGGGGGCGCGGGGGAGGTGGCCTGCCCCAGAGCTCACTGCGGGAGCCCGGCCTCCCCTACCCCGCCTTCAGCCCCGCTTTCTCCCCGTCTTTAAGACCCGCATGTTCCATGGCCCTCCCCGAAGGACTCCTTCACGGGGGCTTTGGGAGGGCCTAGCCCGCTGGGTGCAAGTCCCAGGAATCTCTCCCGTACCCAGCATGTGAAGCCTTTCTTGTTCCAGGGAATGTGGGAGGGCTGGGGTCTTACCCTGACAACCCCCTCCCATGCCTCAGCCCCTTCCCGCGTTCACCACGGGCAGCGGCCTCGGGCTCAGGGAGCCCAAGCCCTGGGGGAGCCTAAGCAACAGATGCGCAAGCTCCCCACCCATACCTCTTGCCTGAATGTTCTGGACTCTGTACTATTGCTCGCCTATGACCCCTCCCAAGTGCCCAAGCCCCCTCTGTCCAGGTCCACTTGTCCTTGGGCTGTGTGGGTGAGCCTCCTCCAGGAAGCCTTCCTAACCCCACCACAGGGCTCTCACAGCTGCCTGTGTTGCTGTGCTCTGCGTCCTTCTTCCCCCTCCCACCTCAGGAATGTGAGTCCCCTTAGGGCAGAGGAGATATCAGGAAAACTTGTCACTGTTGGTGATGGATATTCCTGCAGACCTTGGCCAGCTGGAAGAACTTGCTGACAGCAGAGCCACTCAGGTCAGCTGGAAATGAGCTGTCACAGGAACTGTGCAAACAGGAGTTAGGGTACCACAGCAGTCCAGATGCCAAGAAGGCACAAAGAACCGTTGGAGCTCAGAGTGGGGAGGTGGAGGGGGGCCCCAGGGAAGGCTCCTGAGGAGGGGAGGCAGGACCCTTCCTGGGTCTGTTAGGGTGGGAAGGAGTTGAGAGGCAGGGATGGGGGCAAGGGCAAGATCCCAGAGTAGCAGCCTGAGCAAAGGAGAGGTGTGCTAGGGCCTGACGTGTTCATCGAGTTGGGGTGGCGGGGAGAGGGGAGATAGGGAAGGTAGACTGGGTGCAAACTGCTGTGAAAGGTCCAACCCACCCCCTGGGCAACTCCCTCCCTCATGTCACCTCACTCCCCAAATCCTGGCAGGTCATTGGGCTTTTCAGGGAGAACAAGCTGCCCTGGGCAGGGCTGGTCCCAATTCATCCTGTGGCCCAGGGTCCGGCCCAGGAATGTCAGCGAACACTGGCCGAATGATGGAAAGAGGGACTCTTTATAGTGTTTATTAAACCAAGGACCGGTAGGTGCTGGGTGGGGCTGGTGGGGGAGGACAGAGCCCTCATTGTCCTGTGGGTGTCTCTGTGGGACCAGCCCTCTGATGCCCACATGGCCATGATGGCTGGCTTCCACCCACCACCTCCTCCTCCCAGCAAATCCCCAGGACACACTATTACAAAAGTGAACAAATGCAACCGTTTCTTTTTACAAATGACACATTTCCATCCCCTGCCAGCAGGGGTGGGGGGTGAGGTGGTTGAAAGTGACAGTCCATTAAAAAGGCAACAACTTTTGAAGACTAAGGGAAGAGCCCAGGGCTGGGAAGCTGAGATGCCGCCCTGGGGTTGGGGAGCATAAACATGGGTAGGGGCTCCTCTGCCTCCTTCTGCTGCATCCTCAGTAGGGTGAGATGGACTCTTGGGGTCTGCTGGGCTCAGGACCAGTGGGGGCTGAACCCAGGAGGCCCCTTGGAGCTCATGGCCAGGTGGGGGGCCAGGATTGCATCACCTCCTTGGGGAGCATGTCCCTCAAGGTGCATATCCAGTCTTGATGCTGGGGGACCCCACCCCAGAGTGGGAAATGGCCAGGGCTGGGCCTCAAAAGCCTGAAGCTTCCAGAGGCTCCGAGAGGTGAAGTGACTTAGCTTGTGCCACACAGTGGGTCACTGGGCCCAGAGTCCCACCTCCAAGGCCCTTGCCTGTCCTGGGGATGACAGGGAGAGGGCACAAACAGCAGGATGTGGGTCCTGGCAGCAAGGGGGAGCCCAGAAAGGGGAGGGGAGGGCATGATTTGGAGAAGTCGGAAAAGTGCAAATGGGCCCGGCTGGGAGGCAGGACGCTGGGTCCAATCCTGCCTCTGCCACCGTGGTGCCTCTGATCAGCAGTTTTCCTTCTCTAGGCCTCAGTTTCCCCATATGTCACATGAGGAGGTGGACTTGATTTTTTCTCCAGTCCTTTCTATAACTAAAGTTCTACCCAGGATTCTAGGGGAAAAGAAAAGGCTGAAGTGGACCTCATGTGCCCAGAACAAAGAGGGGGCTTTGTCGTAAAAGAAACCCGTGCCCGAGTGGCTGGACCATGGGCCCTAAGGGGCGCTCAGCCGTGGACCTGACCTCTGCCCCGCAGTGGGATCTTCCTCCCACCATTCTCCTGTCGTGGGTCAGGCTGGCCCAGGCCTGAGGGAAGGCACTTTGGGGACAAGTGGGGAAGGACAGCAGGGAACTGCTGTCTGGTTTGGCATGGAAGACCCTCTGCTTATAGTTTGGGGGGCAACATAGACAAAGGGGTGAGACTTTGCTCCTGAGTGTTGGTCTCAGGTCCAAGCCTCTCTTTCAATGATGCTGCCATAAAGGCCTGCAGAGTCCCCCCTGGCATTGGCACATTAAAATCTAAACTACCCAGGACCTGAGTAAGCCCAAGGCAGCAGTCTGTTATGTGGCCCCAGGCCACATCATTTGTCACAAGATGTCGGGGCCCCTGGCAGCCAATTCCTGGGTGTCTATGCAGTGCAGGGCCACCTTGGGGCTGGAGCTGGGCAGCCGGGGGTAGGCGCCCTCCCGCACCAGGCGCCGGCACCGCACACCCTGGCCCACGCTGATGCTCTGCAGCGCTGGGAGGTGGGGGAGCAGCATCTCAGGCAGGGACACCAGGCCGGTGCCCGACAGGTCCAGCTCCTGCAGGGAGCCCAGGCCTGAGAACACCTCAGCTCCGGCCCACATGAGCTTGGGGTTGCCTGACAGGTCCAGGACCTGCAGGCCCTGCAGCTCACGGAAGCCATAGGGCGCCAGCTGGGGGAGACCCTGCAGGCTGCCCAGCGACAGATGTGTAAGGCCCGCCAGCCCCGTGAAGGCGCCCGGGCCGATGGCAGCCAGAGGGTTCCCGTCCAGGCTCAGGTAGCGCAGGGGCAGGGCGCGGAGGTCGGGCACGGAGCGGAGCTGGTTCCAGGCCAGGTTCAGACTCTGAATGGTGGGTGTGGGCAGGCTGGCCTGTGCAGGGTGGGGAAGGAGGCGGCGGATATGGTTGTGGGAGAGGTCCACATGCAGCACCCTGCCCTGGCCATGGGTGGCGAAGGCGGACACTGAGACCTCCCGGAGCCGGTTGTGGCTCAGGTTCAGGTCACTCAAAGGTGAGCTGGTGAAGCTCTCGGCCGGCAGGGCCGCCAGGCTGTTGTGGCTGAGGTCGAGAGACTCTAAGTAGCGGAGGCGGGAGAAGGCAGTGGGCGAGATGCTGGTCAGCAGGTTGTGGCTGAGATCCAGGCCAGCCAGCGTGGTATAGCCCGGCCCTGCCAACACCGACTCGTTCACCGTCTCCAGCCGGTTGGAGGACAGGTCCAGGTGGGCTGTGTCCAGAGGGATGGGCACGGGCACGATGTGGGGGCCCAGGCCACTGCAGTCCACTCGCGTCAGGCTGAAGCTGTCGAAGAGGCCGAAGGTCTCCACCTCACACTGGCACCCGGGGAAGCATGGGCGGGTTGTCTGGGCCCCGCTCGTGGCCAGCAGCAGCAGCACGGGCAGCAGCAGGGGCCACGGCATGGTGGGGGCTAGAAAGAGAGCCACAGGTAAGGGTCAGTAGCAGGCACCCCATACCAGGTGCTTCTCATCCCACCCCATTAGACACCAGCCAGTGTGTCTAGGCACAGCTGAAAGCTGCCACCAGCCCCTCAGCCCCTGGTTGCTTCCCCTGAGTACTCCTCCTCATGTAATTCCTAGCTCCTGCTCCTCAGTGGCCTCAGTCTCCCCATCTGTATGGTAAAGGGGGTTAGGCCAGATTGGTGGATTTTAAACTGGAAACAGCAGAACTCTTTCTTAAGTAAGATTAGCAGATGGAAGCGGGCTGTTCTGGCTGAAGTGAGGGCGGGGGCCTGGAGCCTTCCATGCCTGCTCACCATCCCTGCGGTAGGATGCTAAGGAACCCAGTTGGAAACCCACTGGACTAGATAGGTCTTGGCTGGCCTCTCCAGCTCTGACCATCTAGGGTCCGTGGGCTGGTCTCGACCCTGCTCCTACCAGGGACAGGCTCACAGCTCAGGGGTTAGGGTTAGGGTGCTCCGTTCGCCTCTGCTGACATGTGTGAGGTGCTGGGTGCTGAGCCTGCTGCCTCACGGCACAGTCTCTTAACCCTGATGACCACAAAAACTGCAAGGCAGTTTTGCCACTTCTTGAAGAGGGAACTGAGACTTAGGTTCAGAGTCACGCACGGCCACCCGGAGGTGGGAGCAGAGCTGGGTGGCATACAGAGGAAGCACAGCTCACTGTCATGGTTTGGCAGTGGCTGAGTCATGCCTGAGACCCACACTCCAGCCTCCCAGACCGAGGCCTCTCCCTGCAAGGGGGGCCTGCAATGACTGTCCCCACCCCACCCGTGTTGCGGGTGACAATGGCTGGGTCTGCACTCCTCAGCCCCCTCACCTGGCCTGTCCTCCAGAGGCTGGATCCTTTATTCCAATTGGGGACCCTGTGTCTAGACTTCCAGAAGGGCTCTGGGGACACCCATCCCAAGCCCCTTTCCCCCTGCCCTGCCCCCACCCCAAGCTGATACAGCCATTTCACCTCTTTGGCCCTTCCTTTAACCCAGGCGGGCAGCTGGGCTGGTTTCCCCATTATACAGATGAAGAGATAGAGGCTCAGAGAGGAAAAGGGTTTTATCGCAAATTAGTAAAAAGCAGGGCCTGCTCAATGCCAATTCCTCTCATTTCATCTGCTGCCTCCAGCAGGGGGCCGGCAGAGAGCTAGGGTCCACGAGGGGCTTTTCCCGCTGACACATGCTATGACACAAGCCACTTCCCCTCCCATGGCCTGTTTCCCTCCCAATGATAGCAGCTGCCACCGATGCCAGCATTACATGGATGCTGTCACCTTCAGTCCTCATACTCACGCACATGTGTCTGACCCAAAGCCCGTGTGCACACCCACTGTGTCTCCTTGGACAGTGGTGCTCAGTGGTGCTCGCAAGAGGGTGAGAGGGAAGGTTGAGCAGAGAAGCTTCTAACTGGACAGTTTGTGTTACCTCCCACCACACAGCTGCCACTCAGCCCGGGAGACAGAAGGCACCAAGCCTCACTCCAGCAGGTCTCTTCATCTGAGGGCCCTGCTCTGCACCCCTGCTCTGTCTTCCCCGACCTGCCCCTCCCACTAGCCTTCAGGGAGGGGTGGACCAGGGACTTGCCCTCCTTCTACACTGGGGCTGGGTGGGAGGGGGCAGCAGGAGAGCATTACCAGCCCGATAGGAAAACTTGAAAGGTGCAGCCACTTGATCTACACTCTGGCTCTGCACAGGGGCAGGGAGAAGTGGGCCCCTCCTCTCCCACCCCTTTCTTTTGTAGAGTCCAATTTGAGGATTAAACCCAGCCCAGGTGCACCCTGGGCTTGGTCCCAAATGAGGCAGGACAGAGTGTTCCAATGTCTGGAACCAAAAGGAAAATATTAAGTTGCTTCAGGTGCCTTTGTCCCTGGGTGAGCTTCTCACCACAGGGGTTCATTACCACTCGGGACCCCACCGCCCCTGTAAGCCGATCTGCTCATACCCACCCTTCCTGGGGTTTAAACAAACACCACACACACACACAAAAGGCCCCGAGATTACCCTTTGGTTCCCAAAGGTGATTATACAATGTGCCTATTAAGTCCCAAATGACCCCTCCTGAGCTCCCGCTTATGTAACTGGCAGCCCCAGTGCTGTCCCTCCAGAGAGGGGCCTCTCGCTGCCCGCTGCAGGCCTCAGCCTTGTCCTCTGAACCACAAGGCAGTCATTCCTGCCCTGCCCTCCTCACAGAGGTGGATTCAACTCTCACTGAAGTGCAACGCCAGCTGTGAAGAGCTGTGCCCGCAGGCAGGGCGGTCAGCCCTGGGGCGCGGTAGATATGGAACTGAGGCAGGGGTAGTGACCGCCGTGTGAAAACAGCAGACGCGTAGACTGAGACCCACGTGGAGACCTGTGCTTGTGAATGCTCCCAGGGCACCTGGGCGAGGTCCCTGCTCAGCCCTGCACAGCAGACACCTCTCCCCGGGCCCCTGCTCTGTGCCATGCCCGGACATTCGAAGTGCAGTGTGGACGGTGACAGTCAGAGCCAGTCCTGACTATGTGCTGTGCTGGACCCGTGTTCTCTCACTCAACCCTCGGTTGCTCCAGGGGGTCAGAAGTTCTATGCCCATTTGGAGTGGAGGAAACTGAGGCTGGGAAAAGGAAGGCGGCAGAGCAGGGACTGAACTCGGGGCTTTGTCACCTTGTAATTGGTTGCGTTCAAGTGGGAGTGCACACTCCCGTGTGTTGCTGGGGACATAGGAGCCAAGCGTCCAGAGCCCCAGGGCCAAGCCCCGCCTGCTGCTGGCTGCTGTGACGAGGTGGGTGCCAAGCTTTTTAACACTCCACGGCTCTGGGGCTTCCCTGAGGTCACAGCAGAGCCCAGAGGCCTCCCAGGCTGTTGGGAGAAGAGAAGGGAGGAATCCCTGAGAGGCTTCCCAACTTTGGACCTAGAAAGGCGCAAAGGTCGGGGTGGGGTGGGCTGGTGGTCTTTGCAAGTCAACGCCCTGTTCTGCTTGGAGGAAATGTCCCCTTTGGGGTAATACAAGGAGGGGCGCTTCTCTCCAGGGCTTCACGGGAGCGGCTCAGAGATGCTGGGGACTGGCACTGCTGCTCCACGCCCCTTAGCAAAAAGGCCCTGGAGCCAAGGGGAGGGCAGAACGTTCCCAAGAGGAGACTGAGGGAGGATAAGGAAACTCCTGCTGGGGCACAGCCCTCTAGAGTTTACAAAAGGCCTTTGCTCATTTGATGCTGCGAGGGCCACAGAGCAGGGTGTGCAGTCCCTCGCTTTAGTGACAAAGCTGCAGCCCAGAGGCTGCAGTGACTGGTCCGCGGATCCCTGGTGAGGCGGGGGCGGCCGATGCGCAGGCTCCAGTCTCCTGACTCCATGCCCGGGCCCTCCCCAACCCGACTCTCCCAGGGATCTTAGCGAGCCAATAAAAGTAATGCTCAGAGGAGTCTGCCACCTCATGGCGGGGGCTGGGGCCATAATGCCTGCTATCATAAAGATAAAATGAGTGTCTACGAAAATTATAACTATGCTTTAAAGAAAAAAAACCCAAACCCTAATTTTGGAAAGTCTAGAAGAAAATATATCAACACAACAGCGGTCTTCCTTCAGATGGTAGGACTTTGAGTGATTTAAACATGTCTTAATCTCCTTTTTTTCCTATTTCCTCTCTTATAGTAAAAATACATATAAAACACTCTGAGGAACAAAGGTTCCTGATTGAATGGCCGCATGGCCATCTCTGCTTTCTCTGGTCTTGGCTGGCCACAATCTGTGAACCTCAGTCTCCTCATCTGTAAAATGGAGATATTAACAGCCACCTCGCAGGACTGCCATGAAGATGAAACAAGATGGTGGAAGTCAGGCACTTAGCAGGGCTCCTAGGACATAGGAAGGGCTCGGGGTGGCTGCCCTGGCTTCCTCCAGAGCAGAGGGAGCAGGTGGGGTAGGGGTCAGCAGGTGGGCCTGACCCCTGCTGCCATCTTGCTTCCTCCTTCCTTCAGCAAACATTTACCAAACGTGTCAAGGCTCTTATCAGCGCCCTCCTGGAGAGCAGCTCTTTCCAGGGAGGCCACACTATGGGGTTTCTCAGCAGTGCTGCTGGAGCTGGGAAGGGATGAGTAATGTGAGTTCCTCTTGATAAAACCACAGCCTCAGCCCTGCAGAGAGGAAAGGCCTTCACAGAGAACCAGAAGGCCCTGGGCACCAACTCGCAGTGTGAACTGAGCAAGTCGCTTTACCTCTCTGGGCCAGGTCCTTCAACTGTGAGTCTCAGATGGTAACTCTGGTCCCATTGGCCTCAGAGAGGATGGCTGTGAAGATCAGACTGAGAAATCGAACACTCCCATGGAGAAATGAGGCCTGAAGGGGAGGAAGCCACATAATGGAAAAACTGTGCCTTTCCATCTAACTCAGGCATATCCCCTGCAGACATAATTAATCAATCACGGCACCGCTTCCTGAGGAATCTGCAGGGGACCTCAGAACTCTTCTCCACATGGTGCTCTGGAAACCCTCTACCCATTGATCAGAGTTGGCCCTAGAGATGAAAACTGTCTTTCTGGGATCAATTCTCAGATTGGAAGAAGCTACAACACTGGGAACAGGAGTCACCCGCTGAACTGGGCAACTTGGGGAAGCGACGTCCCCTCTCAGCCCTCTTCTCTCAGCCCGTTTCCACATCTAAGATGGAGACAACAATTCCTTCCTCAAGGGGTTGCTGTGAGGACTGGCAGTCACAGCACCAGGACACCGAGAAAGGCGCAGTCAACAGGTGCTGTGTCTCTCCTAGGCCGTAGGCTAGGAGTCCTCCCAGAGAGGGCACCCAAGGGCCACCCCCACCTCCTTCACCACTCTCCAGGGGGCTGGAGGGGCAGCCACAGGGCAAATGTGCACAGGGACAAGACAGTCCCGGAGGACAGGCAAGAGCCCCCGTCTTAGTCCCTGCCCCACATGGCCTCTTCACATCTTCAGACAAGTCCCCTCCTCTCGCTAGGCCTCAGTTTCTCTGG